CAAGTGTGTTAATGCCTGAATTTAAATTTTTGATAGCAATGGTCAGTTTAATTAATCTCTTCTTTTTTCATTCATCTTGTCACCCGAAATATTCTCCTGTCACATTCTTCCTCACAAAGTCAAAATATTGGCAAGCAAACAAGCTTCTTAAGGTTATGTTGTGCCCATAAGCACTCATTAATGGGAGGGATTTCACAGTCAGGACTCACATACACAGTCATTTCTGACAGCATTTAGAGCACTATTAGTATGCTGCCAGTATTAATTACTCCTGTAAGGAGTGCTTACTTGACCAAACACCCCAGCAGTTATAAACAGCGGTAATAACTATTGTGGTTGGTTAGGAATCCAGTGATGTGAAAATGCTACCAGTGTTAACCACTGCTATAGCCATCAAGACTTAGTTCCCCACCAGCAATGTTGCAATAAGATCATTAATTGATTCTATCAGTTATTATTAATCACACAGTTAGCACTTTCAGCATGAGCTTTTATTTTCACAACTCTGTGATAGTGGCCTCTGACTCAAGTTTTGAAACAAGGTATGAATTCTGAAAATTTCTCATCAGAGAAAGAAGCACAAAGGCCAAAAATGTTAACATCGGTTCTGATTCTACCACTTGGCCACCTTAGAAACAATAGAATTTTAATTAAGGAATATACTTCATCCATTGTGGTCCCATAGACTGATGTTCCTCTGCATCTTGCATGTAGGGAAAATGCTCCTGAAGAATCCCATCCCCATCTCCCTAAAATGCAGTGGAGTCTTAATTGAGTAACATCATCTATCCGTCGTGGCCCTCCTGGAGAGATGCTCCATTGTGCTTGAAGAAAATCCTCAAAAAGAATCCCCACCCATATCCATACCCTTCCCTCCAAATTGCAGTGGACTCTCAACTAAGAAACGGTAACCATCCATTGTGGCCCTCTTGGAGAGATGTCCTATTGCTTGAGAAGTTCTCCTGACGAATCCAGACTCCATACCCACAATACAATGGGCATTTTAGTTGAGGAACATCAACCATTGCGCACCCTTGGAAAAATATCCCACTGTATCAACTAGAAACGGCTTCCAATTATATCAAACTACCATCCCATCATCACCAGGTAGCATGGCCAATGTTTGATAGAGATGTAGGGTTCATTTTTCTCTTACAAAACCATTTTCTCGTTGCATCTCATTTGCTCTCCATTTTCTCTTGCTCTCTGTATTCTTTGCCCCTTGTCACCAAGGTAAGCTCAGGAAGGCTTTGTTCTTAGAGCATCCTGTTTGTGACTTGTATTTCCTGCTTCTCCTGCACATGTTACCTTGTGGCTTCCTATATAGTAAAGGTTGTGCTATTTGTGTGATTAATGGGCACACCTGGCCTAGTTTTCCCTTGAAATGGCTAGTATACAGAAATGAGAAAAATGGTTTGAGGATGAGATGGGACAATGCGGACTCAAATCTCACATGAACCATGATCTCACTAGCAAGCTTTAGTGTTTCCCTACTATTTGCAATACAGCTATTTAAATGTTAGGCTTTTACTTCCTGTGGAATTCTGGGATTTGTAGTTCAGTGAGGCTGAAGAGATTTCCCTCACTGATAAATCCCAGAATTCTATAGGATGTTGGCGTTGTAGGTTAAAGAGGAATATAGTATGATCTCCATATTCACAGTTTCACCTATTCATGGTTTCACTTATTCACTTAAGGTCTCCCATACAAGCTACACCTTCTTCTCTGTAACTACCAAATGTAATTTGTCCCATTGAAATTAACGGGATTCACTATTATCTCAGTTTTAAATATCCATGTGAAGTCTGGGAATGTCTCTCCTGTGGATTTGGTGGTCATGCCATTTAGCTGAAGAAATAGTTCACAGGGAAAGAGAAGTGGTGCAGATCTCATAACATTATCCCTGAATTTACAACAACATTTTTATTGATTAGCCAATTGGCCTTATCAAAAACAAACAGTGCAGACATAACATACAACATACATCTAGTCCTCTTAAAATAAAATTTACAAGGAATATGGGGAATATAGGTCAGAAGTTTAGGTCTATATCTGCTACATCTGTAGAGTGACTATCTCTGAATAGATGGAAGTAAAGGGAGAGCTGAATTCCACACCAAACCTGCATCTAAACTATAGAATTAATGCAGTTTGACACTATGCTAACTGCCATTACTCAATAACATGGAAGCTGGAATTTGTAGTTTATTGTGGCATCTGCACCCTTTGTCAGAGAAGGCTAACAACCTTGTAAAACTGCAACTCCCATGATTCCATACCATTGAGCCATGGCAGTTAGAGTGGCATCAAACTGCGTTAATTCAACTGTCCAGATGCATCTCAAGACAAGGGTAGGTTCCTGGGATCCACTTAGGATATTTCTAGTTAATGCTCTTTTAGCATACTCCGAGGACTGCAGTACAGCGTGTGTATTCGGAGTATGTTTAGAGAAGCATCAAACAGCCTGCCCCAGTCTTTTGGAAGACCTGATGGGATGTGTCAGCCTTCCACATCCAACATAGTAGAAGTTGATGAGTCTTGCCTCATACTCCTCATGAAGTCTGGGGCCTTTGTGGCCAAGAGTGTGTTCCAAATGGCAAAAGTTATAATAAACTAGCTGTCCCCTGCCACACGTGGCTATGGCCCAGTCTGGGGATCTGGAAAATAAAGGAATTAGGAAGTATTGGTTTCTAATATATTTATTTCTTGCTGTTTCTTTGTCAGTGTTGATGTGGAGAGTGTCTGGTTTGCCTACTCTGGAACATGCAACATATCATTGTCCTTCTTTAAGGGTCCCTTTCAAATCTATGATGCTATATCTGTGGGCATGAAATTTAAATATATTTATCTATATCTATGGCTGGATGGCTGTTTGTCAGGAGGGCTTTGATTATGTTTTCTTGCCCTTCTGAAGGTAGTTGGACTGGATGGCCTAAGTATGGGGGTTCTGTGTGGGAAGTTTGTGTCGTTGGTGGGGTTCAAAATGCTCCTTGATTGTAGGTGAACTATACATCCTAGTAACTACAACTCCTAAATGTCAAGGTCTATTTTCCCCAAACTCCATCTGTGTTCACATTTGGGCATATTGAGTATTCTTGACAAGTTTGGTGCAGATCCATCATTGTGTGAATCCACAGTGTTCTCTGGATGGAGGTGAACTACAATTCCAAAACTGAAGGTCAATGCCCACCAAACACTTTCAGTATTTTCTGTTGGTCAGGGCAGTCCTGTGTGCCAAGTTTGGTTCAATTCCATCATTAGTGGAGTACGGAATGCTCTTTGATTGTTGGTGAACTACAAATCCCAGCAACTACAACTCCCAAATGACAAAATCATAATTTTTAAGTGGTGGTCACTCCTTGTGTAGTGAGATGTTTTGTTGCCAAATTTGGTGTGATTTCGTTCATTGGTTCTTTTGTTTTTAAGGTACTCATTATGCACAGAGTATTTATATATATATAGATACAAACACACAAGCTAGGAGACATTGAAGCAATTTGCTTTTGCCTGAGCTACTGGGGGTCTTTCCACACAGCCCTATATCCCAGAACATCAAGGAGGAAATCCCACATTATCTGAGTGTGGACTCAAATAACCCAGTTCAAAGCAGATACTGTGGGATTTTCTGCCTTGATATTCTGAGATATTGGGCTGTGTGGAAGGGTCCTGGGAAGGTCAATATTCCACTTTCTCATCTTCCCTCTGAGGAGTTAATTAATCCAAACTCATTTTGCTCTTTGAACTCAGTTTGAAGCAATTCGGGTAAGCTAAAAACAAAAGGGGAAAGTGGAAGGCAAGGAGAGAAACTGGGATTTTTTTTAAAGCAGCCGAAAAAGTGAGGCAACCGGATTAGTCAGGTCTGTCCTTGCCAAATCAGGGAAATGGAACAGTTTACTCCCACACCAGTTCAGAAATGCATTCCTTGCAAAGGATGAGCTTCAGTATTTGCAATATGTGTCAGAAGAGCCATAAAATGGAGAAAGAACAGGGAACAACTTCTAAACTTTCCCTCCTCTTCCCTCTCTGTCCTGCCCCACCTGCTCCCAACCCAAATACTGTAACACACAGTGGGCCCTTGTTGAAGCAACTGTAGGGTTTTGCAACACAAGGAAGTGTGACGCAGCACATGTGCTTTGGCTATTTCCATCACAAAAGTCTACTGAAGCCTTTCTGACTCGGTGGTGGATTAAATGACAGAAGGATCCCATCTTGCAAAACCTATCCTTTGTCTTGGTCATGGCTAGAATTCGATGTAGCTTACTACCTTGTTGTAAATGAAAGCTGATAACTTTATGAAAAGTAGCAGTTCTGCAATTGTTCATATTTGCTGTTGGCATGAGTGGAATACTCCTGTAGAAAAGCCAAGATATATTTCACTACAAGAAGGTTTGGGTTGGGTTTAGTTTTTTAATAAAAAGGAAAACTTCTCAATACTTGGGCAGAGACACAGGGCCCTCCCACACAGCCATATAACCCAGAATATCAAGGCAGAAAATTCCACAATATCTGCTTTGAGCTGGGTTATCTGAGTCCACACTGCCATATATTCTAATTCAAAGCAGATAATGTGGGATTTTATTCAGCTGTGTGGAAGGGGCCAAAGTTGGAGTAACGATTTGTTTCTTTGAGACTACAAAGTTAATGTCAAACACTTCAGAAATAGTATTGGATATACATTTTTATTGGAAAGAAAAAATGAACAATTGTAGGGTTCCCCTCTTTTATTTGTGTTGGAATTACAAAGTACTTTGCACCCCATCCACTTTCCCCATTCTATCGTAACCTTTTATAGCAGAAAATCTGGAAGTATCTGAATTTGAAAAGTTATTTTCCATGCAAATAAATGTTTTACCCAGTCATTCATCTCCAAAAAGAGCACTCTTCAAACCAAAGATTATTATTCAAGCCTCAGGTAGAGAGTGGCCTTAGCACCCAGCCAAACTATGTGAGCTCATGCAATCGACTACAGTTTAATCCAGTTACAAGACAAATACACTCACCAAAGTAGACCGGTTTTCCACACATGGGACAGTATGAAATCATCATCCGTCTTCCTTTGGGCACCACTCATCCGTCAGCACAACTTGAATAAACAGTCTTCTGTGCTCCTTAGACAGACAGGAAAACCATGGCTGGGGCAGGGTGGTGATCTGTTCTGCTTTTGCAGTCAGGATGTTGCGGTTGTAAGAAAATGAGTGCACTGAAGTAGTGACAGAAGGTCGATGGAGGGGGAATAGATGGCTTCTGGCTGAAACAAAGACGGTGCCATAGCCTGGCTTCCTGTTTTGAGCTTTAAAGCCCTCATTTCATTTCCTTTCCATTATATGCCTTACTACTTACTTCAAGCTTGCACAAAAGACCCCAGCACTTGTTTGTCTGGAGCCCCCGGTGGTGCAATGGGTTAAACCCTTGTGCTGGCAAGACTGCTGACCGAAAGGTTGGTGGTTCGAATCTGGGGAGTGGGGTGAGCTCCCTCTGTCAGCTCCAAATACCAATGACAGAAGCCTCCCATAGGATGGTAAAACATCTGGGCATCCCCTGAGGAACATCCTTGCAGATGGCCAATTCTCTCACCAGAAGCAACTTGCCATTTCTCAAGTTGCTCCTGACATGAAAAAAAACTTGTCTGCCTCCCTCTAAGTCCTTCAGCATAGCTCTATGGTCAGCTTCCAGCAGATGCTAACAATGAAATTGTGCTGCAGGACCTAGACATTTCTAGAGAGGACACTTTTCTAGGAATTTATAGGTCCTCCAGAGCAATTCTATTGGAGGTTGACCAGATTCACTCTGGAGGATCTAGAGATTTCTGGAAAGGTATTCTCTCGATTTTTTTTAAAAAGTGTACTGAAATTCCATCTCATACAGAACCATTAAAAGTACAGGATTCCTGTCTATTTCTCACTCTGACAACTTTAGATTTAGTACTCAGGAAAGGGGATTCTTCCAATACTTTTTGCCCATTTGTAGTATTGGCAGAATTGGTTTTGGTTAAGCTGTTGCAAGACTTTTTGCTGCCTATAACAAAGGCTAAGAAGGTCTCCCTCCCTCCACATGAACACAATCAAACTGAACCAATACATTTATTTGTTTGTTTGTTTGTTTGTTTACCATACTTTTATACTGCCCTTTTCAGCCCGAAGGCGACTCAGAGCAGCGTATAGACCAGCAACAATCAGATGCCGAACACACATAAATACATCATTCAAAACAGGTTAAATCGCACAATAAAATTCATATAAAAACAATTTAAAACTATTAAAATCAATGACTTCTGGGTGTAAATCCATGTCCATTTGCATCGTTAAGCCATTCCATATCAGTTCACAATACTAACTTACAACGAAGTTCCAAAAGCTTGATCGAAGAGCTAGGTTTTTACTCTTTTCCTAAAGGTCAAGAGGGATGGGGCCAATCTAATATCCCCAGGAAAGGAGTTCCTCAGCCAAGGAGCCACCACTGAGAAGGCCCTGTCCCTCGCCCCCACCAAGCGTGCCTGTGAGGCAGGCAGGACCAAGAGCAGGGCCACCCCAGATGATCTTAAATTCCTGAAAGTTTCAAAAGGGGAGAAACGTTTGGATAGGTAAGTTGGGCCAGAACCGTTTAGTACGTTCATGAATCTTACTTCAACACTGATATTAGGATCATGTTCTCCAGGGCCACCACATGGAGAACATATGGAAAACACCATATGTTCAAAATATGCAGCTCTGTCATCCAAAAAAGGAAATAAATAGGGGATTCAAGGGACTTGGTTGTTGGTCCACTGCCAACCAGAGCATGTACAACTAGATATAGTTGTCTTACTCTATCTAAAAGTGCAGGGCCACTGTGGATCTGTTGTAGAAGAAGAAGAAGAAGAAGAAGAAGAAGAAGAAGAAGAAGAAGAAGAAGAAGAAGAAGAAAAAGAAGAAGAAGAAGAAGAAGAAGAAATCATAGTATCCAATCATGATTTTGATGTCATAATATGCTTTGATGAACTAGTGTTGACTCCATCAATTATATTATCGCCAGATTTCAACTTAACAGCTAACTGATGCTTGGATAGACTGCCTAGAAATTTCATCTTCAAAGCAACGAGAATTTCATTCCATGCTGACACCAAGTGGGATAGCAATATTCTCTTGCCTGAGCAGGGGAACCTTACAGACACAGCAGCTTATCAAGTATTTCCATGCACCCTACTTGATAAATAGTCAACCATATTCACCTTATGTGTAAGACGGAACAGGGCAAAGGGTAAAACTGACAAATGGGGTGTTGATAGATACCAGGAGGAGGCCAATACCCTAACGAAACAGTGTCCCATCAGTGTCTAGCTGTGATTTGCATATGCTGCGGTGAAAAGAAAGAAACAGCTGGTGACAAAGCTAATGAGCCATAGTTATATAATGAAAATTAGTTTGCTGTCTCAGAGAGTAAAGCTAAAGAAAGACAAAACTTGCTCATTTTCAATTCCTGGCCAGTTGTTTGTTTGTTTTTTTGTATGTGTGTCAAGAGCGACTTGAGAAACTGCAAGTCGCTTCTGGTGTGAGAGAATTGGCCATCACCAAGGACATTGCCCAGGAGACACCTGGATGTTTTAATGTTTGACCATCCTTGTGGGAAGCTTTTCTCATGTTCCCGCATGGGGAGCTGGAGCTGACAGAGAAAACTCAACCCGTTTTCCCCAGATTCGAACCGCTGACCTATCTTCCCAGATAGTAAGACAACTTGGAGGGGTAAGGGAAGCTATGTCTGGAGCTCTTGCCTCTTAGCCTGTATTTTAATATCTGCTTTACAGGGGGAAAGAAACTGGATTGGGACCGTGGTAGTAGGTGAGCAAGGTTGACACTTTCCATCTGTATCGTTTTCCTGATCTAAATATTCTCCCCAGCTGTTACTCTTTGCTTTGCTAGGGAAACTTTCAAGCCTGGAAAAGAGCAACTTGCATGAGAAAGGGAACTGAGACTGGGCAAACAGCACTGGGAGGGGGAAATATTAACCCTTCCCATGTCACCATGATCTCCATTCATTTTATCATCCCCTCCCCCCATATGGCTACTTTTAATTTGAAAAGAAAGCAGTGGACTATCTTGATCATGTATTCCTGTTTTAGTTGTTCCCTGTGCAGACGGTCGGTCAGTGCAACTTAAGCAACGTGCTGTCATTGAATTCTTGACAGCAGAAGGTGTCACTTCAGTATCTTTAAACTTACTCGCTCAACAACACACAGTACTCACATCAACACAATCACCATAAACAGCTTGCATTCTCTGATGGATCCCCTTTGGGGTGACACCTTTTGCTGTCAAGAATTCAATGACTGCAAGAATTCAATGACTGCAGGTTGGTTAAGTTGCATTGACCGGTTCCATACTTTAACAACGCAACTGTTCAATGCTAAGGCTCCCTGCCAAAATGGAACTGTAGAGAAGAGTCTACTGAACAAGCCAGTACCTGCCGCATTCCAGTACTGTCATCTGTTGAGGAGTTACGAAGGTGGAGGCATTACTTTTCATTCAACCCTCGTAGTGTAGTGAGGCTGTTAAAGGCTCCTCCCTAAACTCCACACCCCAGAACTCTGCAGGAGGCAGAAACTGGATTTAAAGTGGATTTTTCTTCGTGGTCTCTGCGAATGCACACTTGTGGAGAGTCTGCGCCTGCGCGGGCTCCAACGGAAA